ATTGCTTGCCTTTGAGGTATTTGATAATTGCGTTTCAACTCACGAGGGCTGCTATCTTACCCATAAAAAAGGTAACATGAAACAAATATATTGTAAGCAATGCGTAACTAGTTCGCATCCAAGTGAGGATCAAACCCGTGACCTCACAACTGAAAGGTAAACATAATACTTATGTGGTCACCGAGCAGGTGACCAGGAGGCTGTTACTAGATCTACGCATGATGTAGTGCAACTCATCTTTGCAAGCATTTTGCGGTTATCTGATGTCGTTCATCTTATTAAAAGACTCCTGGCATTATAAGCTGACAGTATCACTTGTCAAAAGGAGATTGTGCAGGATTGCAGGACATGGGGAATTTTGTCAAACACACTACATGGGAAACGTGAACTAAATTCCCCCCTGGTTCGCTTTCGAATCAGATGCTAAATTTTATAAGAGACCGGTCTGTGAATCACTCATGTTTGTAATGACATTAAAAGCTTACATAATTGTTGGGGTATCCGTCACTATACGATAAATTATCGTTTACAATGAATGCAGTAGGCAAACCTTCAGTGCATCTCGAGTGAAATTATCAACATTCGAATAGCTATACATCCATAAAATGTTTATCTAATAAGCGGCCTATCTACTTGAAAATCTGATTTAGGTATTCACGTTTTTAACATCCCGTCATAAATCTCATTTCATTTACAGACGGCCTATTTGAAAAATCCGTTATCATAATCTACTCCCATGTCTGATCAACATATGAGAATATTCATGCTCATCGGATTCCACCTTGTTCAGAAGGGCGTGGTCAAGATGGCTGAATCTATGAATCTTGTGATTTGCGCAAACTTGAAGCTCAAATTTTCAGGAAACATTAAGGCAATATCACCACGTGCCTGCTAACAGACTTCAAATACTGGCATTATTGAATTTCAAGATCTAGCCACACCCAGCGTCTGTTCTTCCAATCTCTTTCATGTCATTTATCTACAGATCAATATACGCTATTCGTAAATGTTTCTTTTGCATGTGAATGAACATACCTGCTCGATGAAAAAGTGAGTGATGCAAGTTTCATAATGATTCCATGCATAATTCTGAGGTAGCCTCTTGTGATCAGCGATGTATATGTAGTACTTTTGAAACATTTTGCGTGGTTAGTGCTGTGAAAAGTTGACTTTTTTCTGTATCTGGAAATGATTCCACTGTCATTCTTTTCGGTGATATAGCCTATTGATGTTCTTCTACTCCATATGTTGATTTGCTTCTTTTGTGATAATCTACTACACAGAAAGCTAGAACAAGAATAAGAGACAAAAAATAAATATATTCTTTCTAATATTTTGCTATATTCGTGTTTGTTTATCATCTTAACCCATCATATGTTTCATTCTTTCCCACATGAAATTCTTCCTTATTTCGGCTGTGCATCCTAACCATATGATTAGTATCTGCATAAGTACGTGCCTGTGGATGCATCGTCCTGGTGACTCATCACGTGACCATTTCAATCACATCTTTGCTCACATCAAATTTTGATTGTTCACATTGAAACCGATGATCAACTTGTGTTTGAGTTGATCAACCATTCAGTCCACTGTTTGACATGAAACCTTTGTCTCAATCACTTCTTTACTGAGTTTTCCCCTGTTTATGTGAATCCATTTTCTCTTTGCTTGTAACGCCAACATAACAGAAACAATGTACAGGGAAGTGGTAAACTCTCGTGTGTGACAAGGGGTAGTCACAACTAAGGATGTGGTCCTATATCATTCATTGTGTCCTTCTGTCCTGCCCTGTCCCATCCCATCCCCTCCCGTCACACAAACACAAACCTCATTCGATAGTGCCAAACCTCCACTACTGATCCGGTACATCAAAGAACCTGTAGTGTTTCATTGCGCCTTATTGGTACTTGCCTTTGTGATAGTTCACGGCTTTGTGAATTTCTACCATCGATCTATCTTTCTGTCTTCGCGTGTCTCTCATTTTGGGATTATTCTAGTTATTTTGTTCATCTCTGTTCCATTCAATTTCCATTTTTACCCTACTCGTATACGGGTATGTGTACGTGTGTTTGCTGGTGGGCGGGAACGGCACTGCTCCGCGCCACTTTGTTGTATGTTTGTTTGGACTTTAGTGATCTCACGATACCTGTCGACTGAAAATTATTTTGATCGTTTGAAATTAAAAAAACTGGTCGCTGTGTATGTGTTGTTTCGTTTTTGTATCCAATGATTTGCTTTTATTTAAACACTGGTGTTCAGAGTTTACCGCGAACAATCCAGCCTTCAATACACTGTCAAAAAAGGCTCTCTCTGTCTTTCTTTGCATGCGGTATCTAAGTATGCCCTTATTTTTGTTTCATTCATTCATTCATATTTGGTTATTAAACATCAAAGAGATATATGTTAGGCAACAGGAGACAAAATTCACCAATCCTTATTCAGTTCCTAGCTGGAACAGAGTGAATGATGCACAATGAGCAATAGGGCCTCGACTTGTCAAAGCCTGCCCACCACACATTTCTTACCTACCCAACACCGGTATCGCTTGTGCATATATATATATATTGCGAAAAATATGTTACCATTGTACTCGTTCTGTTGCTAGTATTTTCACAAACCACGACTAATACTTCCAAAAACAGTGTTTTCTGATCCATATGCAACTAACGGGGAAAATGTGGTTTCTCTATTTGTAGTATTCGGAATAGGAATTGAAATCGAATAGCGTGAACTCGGTATCGGACTGAAAACTCACTGAACCAAGACAAGCTGTGGATGCAGTTATTTATATTCAGAAAATCATGGAAATTTATATCACAAGCAACAAACAATCATTGGTTGATTCTTAAATGTCCAATCGACAACGATATGGTTTATTTGTTTGCCTTCTTGCACTCAGCCAATCCGGATGATGCCAGTTGAGAGCACCGAATTAGTCGGTTATCCCGTTTCTCGATTGGTTACCTGGAAGTTGCACCGCGGTGCGTG